GTGAGGTAGAATTACTCAAGATTGCATCCAATTTCGCCTGTATTGCACACGAACTCTCGGCCTGATTTTTGCTCATTGTGTCCATTCTCTTTTCCAGGCTACCTAAATGGCTGTTGACATCATCATATCGGTTTTTTAACTGTTGCAAATCTTTTTTGATGTTCTTATCTCGTTCTTCATTGGTGGTTTCTACATTATCTGACATTTCCTTGAGTCTCTCTTCTGTTGCCTTGGCCAGGTTAAAATAACTATCCAGATACTCGTTTTTGTTGTATCTTAATTCTTTTCTTATCACTTCTCTGTCCTCTTCGCTGTGCTTCAGCTTTTTGTCGATCTGATTCAGTTTCGCCATCAAGTCACCTAGCTCAAGAGTAGCCTCTTCATGGTCAGCCGTCGGTTTTTCTTCGGCCGTCGCTTCTGCTCTAGTTTGTCCCTCTCTCGGATTGGCTTCTGTCGTCTTCGTGCTCACTGTTCCAAATGTTCGTGCTCTTTCAGCTTTTGGTTCTTCAGTCACGTTCTCTTTCGTTTTTATTCCGACCATCATCGCCAACCTTTCTGTAAAAGATGTCTTTTTTACTTGAGAGTCTTCTTTCACCGTTTCTTCGGTGTTGCCTATTGCATCTTCCGCGTTGTCTATTGGTGAGAATTCTATGGGTTTCGAGTTTGGTTCTTCTGCATTGGGCATTGGAGTTGACTCCGTCGCTATTTTCCTTGTTTCATCAACACTTTGATCAGGTGTCTCTAGATCAATCTCGATGGTGGGTTCTACTCGTTCCCCTTCCATGCCCTCTCTTGCTCTGTTCTCCGCTGTACTCCTTGTGCTGACCATGTTAACTGAAAAGTTCTTCTTTGTTATCTTTGGGCCCATTGATGTTGTTTTGCGTAGCGACGAATTATTCTTTGCTTCGGTAGGTCTTTTTTCAGCTACCGGTACCCTGCTCCGCCTCATTATTTCTATTTACAATTGCTCTTATTTATAATTTTACTATATACACAATCCTATTCTAAGAATAAAATGTTTTGAGAAAAAAAAATTCTTAAAAAAATATACAACGTGGTGAAAACCTTGTTTCAGTTCTCTTTATTAACTTTTCGAGAAAATTTCCTTATTTGTGGTCTCAACCGTACCTGGTTCCAATTAGTCTTGTTCTATCTTAATTCTGTCTTAAAACACTTCTTGTAATTTTACTTCAATTTTTATACTGTCCCAAGACTTCCAATTGCCGTCCCTACTCTTCTTTGTACCGTCCCAGGCTTCTTTCTCCTGTCCCAAGACTGTTCGGTACCGTCCCAGTACTTTCCGGCCGTGTCCCAAGACTCTTGTCCAAGACTACTGTCCCAATGCTAGTGTCCCAAGACTACTGTCCCAAGACTACCGTCCCAAGATTAGTGTCCCAAGACTAGTGTCCCAAGACTAGTGTCCCAAGACTACTGTCCCAAGACTACTGTCCCAAGACTAGTGTCCCAAGACCAGTGTCCCAAGACCAGTGTCCCAAGACTAGTGTCCCAAGACTAGTGTCCCAAGACTACTGTCCCAAGACTACTGTCCCAAGACTAGTGTCCCAAGACCCTGTCCCAAGACCTTGTCCCAAGACCTTGTCCCAAGACCTTGTCCCAAGACCTTGTCCCAAGACCTTGTCCCAAGACCTTGTCCCAAGACCCTGTCCCAAGACCTTGTCCCAAGACCCTGTCCCAAGACCCTTGTCCCAAGACCCCCGTCCCAAGACCCTGTCCCAAGACCCCGTCCCAAGACCTTGTCCCAAGACCCTGTCCCAAGACCCTTGTCCCAAGACCCTGTCCCAAGACCCTGTCCCAAGACCCTGTCCCAAGACCCTTGTCCCAAGAACCTGTCCCAAGACCCTGTCCCAAGACCACTGTCCCAAGACTGTACTGTCCCAAGACTGTCCCCAGACTGCTCTGTCCTAAGACTGTTGACAAGTGTCTGGGTGGTGGGACTTCTTCCCTCTTCGTTATGGGGACTTCTTGATTCGCCGTACCTTGTACCACCACTCAAGCTCTAGTAAAATTTTCCCAAAATCCTCTCTTAAAAGCCAAATGCTGACCCCCCTTTTTCTTATTTCTCTTTTTGGCTACCTCTCTTTCAATGTTCCAAGTAACTTGAGACCAAAACCTGTGCGCAGGTATCTTGTGATCACGCGTTCGTACAAAATTTTAACACGAATCCTCACCAAAATGCAACAAAAATCTAAGCAAGAAAAAGTAATAAAAACAGAAAGATGAGCCCACCTAAAATTCAAAGGTGAAAAATGTCTACCTTCTATCGAAAAAAATGTCTTGTACCTAATTGCCACGCGTTTCCTTCCCCCCTGCTAGCGATCTTATGGGGTGTTACAAAAACTGTCTATGTCCCTTCCCCCCTACCAATCCGACCAGGGTACCTTCCTTAACTCGAGTTCAAATTTCGATATCCACCTAATATTACCAACGCGTGTTAATTTCTAATGTAACTAAGTCAACGATGTCGACTAATTAGTTACTCTAATTTCCCCCTTTTCACAATTTACAACCGCCAACCTCTAACTTAACCAGCCGCCCTTCTAACCTCCCCCCTTTTTAGCCCCCCTTCTTAAGCCTAAAATTACCTTAAGCGCCGGGTGCTAAACCTCTCAAGAGAAAACCGTAGACCTGTCTCCAGGCCTGCTCAAGTAAAAACGTTCCTCAAAACCGGGGGATGTCGCTTATCCTATTTTACACTTATCTCCTATAATGTAATGTGGATTTTAACGATACCCGTTCTGCCCAACTTGAGAACTCGAGAATTGACAAATCCTTCTTGGCTGCTTTCCCACTCGACTGGTCACCTGTTCCAGTCCAGTCTCCTATTGGTTCAGCTCAAGTGTCCCTGAACCACCTTCCCACTCGGCTGGTCACCTCTTCCAGTCAAGTCTCCTATTGGTTCAGCTCAAGTGTCCCTGAACCACTTTCCCACTCGGCTGGTCACCTCTTCCAGTGAAGTCTCCTATTGGTCCAGCTAAGTTCCAAGCTATCTGAAAACCCTTGACAACGCCCCACACTCGGGCACTTTATTCAGTTTACTGGTTTAAATTGCTAGGTTGATCGAAACGATCGAACTTGTAAAACAGTATGGGTATACTATTCAATTAATATAAAGGTTTGATCCAACTAATCTGGTGTCAAAGTCACTGTCTTTTTTCGTTTTATGGTTTTTGTTCCTTTTTCTATTCTTTTTTGGTTTTTGTTTTGCTTTTTGTCTTTTTGCTCGTGTTTTTGTCCCCCTAGTTGCCCCCCTTTACTCGGTTAGCTAAGCCTCGTTCGGAGAGCGTACCAGGAAGTTTTCTCGAGTTTTCTTAAAAAGCTATCACGGTACAACCGGAAGGTTTGCACGTTCCTGTCGAACCGCACCGCCGGTACTCTAGAATGGGCATTCAGCCCGAAGCTGTCTCAAGTGGGTTCGACTCCGTAGTCTTGATGTCGTAAACACCCAGGAGCGCCATAAAAACACTATGTAACATTCGTCTACTGCAGTCACACATGAGGCTTAAGAAAAATAGGCCCTATAACCACTGGCTCAAGGGTCAGGGACACCATCTCTTGTGTTTTTCTACCTCAAGAACGGTCGGAGCCAGTTCGGTTCGTTTGTGACATGAGACTACGACCCGTTACAGCTTAAAGGCTACTACTAAAATATCCCCCCACTCTAGAATTAGAAACGTCCCCATACTTAGGTCTCTAGATACCCAAAATACATGAACGCCGTTAAAAACCGGGTTGGAACAATCCGTTAAGTTACTTTTTATTAGACAGTGGAACTTTGATCCATTTCAGATGGATCAACCTAAAACTCGCCTTATCTCAACATAACTATCATAAAATACACTCGAGAAATTTAAATTTGTACTCACATAATAGCACGCTCAAGAAGTGGGAAATAATCCAGTCGGTAATTAACTCAAGAATTAAATAACGTAACTAAATGAGTCTAATGTTTTATAGTTTGAACAATGAGAACGAGTTTATACTCTAGACAATAGTTTTCTTGTGAACCATTAGGACACTCAAGTTGTCCACCTTTCCACCGAAGGTTCACTCTAGTCCAGTTCCGAATAACACTCCAGTCGCTATAATCCAATTCGTGGGAATGCTCTCGTCTCTGTCACAGATGGGACAGCTCTACTCTCGATTATGATAGTGATGGAAATTGCGAATAGCATTTTCCTACTGCTTTTTCTTACAACTTTCCCGCGTGTGTGACTCAATCGTTCTGACTTCTCTTTTCTGATTTTCAGTTATCGCGAGAAAATCGTGCATGACATGCTCCATTCGAAATTTTGAAAAATTAAATTTCTCTCCTAAATCAAGTGTTTTTTGCTTCTCTCAAGGTCAAACTTCCAAATATGACCGACTGGCACAATCCCTGATTCATCAAATCGTCAGATTATCACTACTAATCCGTGAAAACCGTTAATTTTCTCACTCAGATGCTACAATAACAATTCGAATTCGAAATGCATTTTTAAGGCATTCTGGTCGAATGTCACATTTTTTTTAGAAGGTTCAGCTTTTTTCCTAAATACTGTAACATCAATGTTTGACGGCATAGCCCGGGAGTTCGATTTCAGTCGTCTGCTTGTGGCTTAATTCCCGCAGAAATGACTTTTTTGAAAGTTTGGCTTCTTTCTAGCATTCCGAAAGCTCGTTTTAATGTTAGAATGAGTAATTTTGTACCGGAATGTTTGCGCAGTTTTTGTTATTTTTTTTTTATATCAGAGCGGTTTTTTCAGTTTTTGATTTTTCTTTGCGTGTGAATTTAATCGCGTTTATTCATTTTTATATAGCAAGTGGTGCAAAGCTCAGCTTCGCCTCTGTATTTAAAATCGTTATTGGATCTAATTTTTGCAATTAATATACAAAAATTGTTTCACAGACAAAACATTCAACTCAAAATTGAAAAAAAAACAGCTCGGCTTTTAGGTTTTGAAAATAGGCCCCATAAAACATCTGAAAGTTTTTTCAGTTAGGTATGGCGTTGTCAAAAACGAATCTACTCGTAAATCAGCTTCCAAAAAGCATGGGAGATGTGCAATTTAAAGAATTCTTCGAACGGATGGGAGAAATAAAAGTATGTCAAGTCATTAAAAATCGGACAACCAAAGAAAGTATGTGCTATGGTTTTGTAGAGTTCTTGAAAGAAGAGGATGCTCAAAGAGCTGTCGATGAACTGAATAATTACCCAATAGAGGACAAGTTCCTTAAACTTCAGTTTGCTCGTCGCAATAATCCTAACAAAAAAGGTTAGGTTTTACCTGTTTCACTTGACATATAAAAAGCTGACTGCTTTTTAACTTACTCTTATAGAGATCATAAATATAGATGAATTATCATTTTTATCCACTTAGCTACCATAACTTCACAACTACAACAGATATATCTATTACGCCAACTACTATATACCTTGCTATTTTTTTTTATCTGTAGGTGGTACTCGTATCTTTGTCTCTAAACTGCCGCCTGAGGTATCCGAAGAGAAATTGCAGGAACTCTTTGGTGAGTTTGGCGAGATTAACGAGGTGCAGCTTCCTCTTAAGAATGATGGATCTGCTAAAGGCTATGCTTTCCTGACATATCAGGAAGAAATGGATGCGAAAGCAAGTATTGAGGCTCTTAATCAGTATTCAGATGATTTCTTCTCTCAGCCAATAAGTGTGAAGGTAAATGCAATTTTCGAGTCATTACGCTTGCGATTAGCAAGCGTTATCAAATCCGAATGTAAACTTTTTTTCGGGTTAACAACTAGTTTTACAAAATTAGTTGAATCAGTTGCTCACATGCTCATGCCTGCTGAAATACTTAACTCCTGGGTGCAATGTTTCTTAACTCCTTTATATGTAGTATCATTCACTAATAAAGTTTATTTCTTCTTCTTCTCTTCTCTACTGGGAAACTTTTTCAGAATTAAATTGATTTTTTTGTCGGCTTCATGGATTTCCTCCCAACTTTGTCGGCTTAGTTGCCGCATATGGTTATTTTTTTGAAATATTTTTTTTTAAATTGCTTGCTTTATAATGAATTATACAAGGGGAGTTTTTAAAGTTTAATCAAAACAATTGATTGTGGGAAAAGCCCCTGCCTAGACTCCTGCATTTTGTAAAATTAATAGCACTGCCATTGTATGTTTCTTCGGTTATCCTTTTTTCGCTAAAAGAAGCTTTATTCTGCTTAAATGGTTTCGGCGATATTTTTTTTTGCTTTGTTAACCGTGCTTTTTCAGGTAGTTTGTGTTGCAAGAAAAATTTAATTGGTGTTTTTCAACTGTGTTTTTAGTTGTTTTTCAACAGTTTTTCTGAAATTTGTTTCCTTTTTTCCCTAAACTTATTTTCATTTGTTTTTTGAATTTTTTTACTTCAGTTTCATTTTCTATTCGCTAGCTTGCAATGTTGCACTTGCGTTGTATCGGAAGTGATGCAACGCTTCGCTTTGCTTCTGTGTATGTTTTATCTTGGACACTCGAAAGTTTTAAACATTGTTATTTGGTATTTTAGTGTTCATCGTAACTTTTCCAACGGTCTGTTGGCAATGTTTTTAATTTGTTTCAGATAAGTGTATCAGACTTCAGTATACAGGCCGAGAAGAAAAAAGCTCAAAAGTTAAGCTCAAGTAATGGGAACCTTCTTCAAAATTCATTTGTACCGTATGCTGGTTATCTGAACGAATCAGCGCCATTTCTTGGAAACCATGTCGGGAACAGTGGGTTCGCTCCAGAAGACATGATAGATCCATCTATGATACCACCTCCTCCTCCAAAAAGAAAAGTATACTTCAGAATTCTTGATACTTCATATTTCTTATGATCCAAAAACTATTTAATTTAAAAATGAACGATTGTTTTTGTCAATGGGTTATTATCTTAATTTTGTGGGTTTCTCAAAAGAAAAATAATCCAATTGATTCCAAAAATTAGATTTTCTAAAAAATTTTGCTTTTAATTTTATCTAGGCTTTAATTGGCCTGCTTCCATTGCTCAATCAATGCTCAGGTTATAGTTCAGTTTTTTCAAAATTAACTCGAACATTTGTGCCAAGTATCGGCTTTTGGTGATTTAATTAGAATGAGCTATATCCGCTAAGTTAAATTGCATTCAGTGTTGCTGTTGCTTGTCTGAGGGAGGTGAATCCAGGATTCGTCGCGGAGTGAGTGAGGTTTTAATTTCGCTGTCTTGATATTCAAAGGCCAGTTTAGAACCTGCCTAGATGAAATTAAACAATTCAAGATTTTCTGAGAAGTTACAGGATTAAAAGGGTAGAAAGATTTTTGCAAATGAAGGCCTCTTGTTATTTTTTCGGGTGAGTATTGACTTGATTTTTTTTGGTTCCTGTTAACGAAGACAGACCTGATATTTCATATCCTTTGTTTTTCTAACGTGAAAGTAATTTTGAGATGTTTGAATGTGTCAAAAGTTCAATATATGAATTAAAGACGCTTATTTAAGGCCATTTTTTTTCGGTTTGACGTTGATTTTTTCGAAATTGATAGTCGTCTGGACCAACTGGTATCGAAAATTTCCAGTTATCGCCTGCATTGACGTCAGTATTGAATTGTTCAAAAAGAAATTAGCAACATCAAAGCATTTAATTGCGGTGGTCTCTAATGGTTTCATTGTCCTTAGTCATAAAGCATTCCGAACTACAGAAATTTCTAAAATTTGGATAGATCAAAACACATAGATCAGCACTAGATACAGTTAAAGAAAGATTAAGGCTTTTCTGACCATATTCCAGTCGAATTACAAGTTTTTCATCGTAACACTACATCTAAGGGGCCATTTTAGCAAGAGACATGTCTTTTACAAAAAGTAATAGTAAATTAAATTGTTCAATAAAGAGCTCCTATGAGAATTACCAATGGTAAGTTACGATCTGAATTATTTTAATGAATTGAATGACTTGACCTTTGCAAAGTCGTTGACAATTAAGCCTAATGTGCAACAAACTGCTTAAGGTGCAACAAAGAGATTATAATAAACAAAATAAGCCAAAAGTGTTTCAAGATAATCTCTGAAAGAAATAGACTCCATCGAGCTTGGCTTTTGAACAAGTCAAGTCGAAACGTCTTGTAGCGATTTAAACTTGAGAGGTCGAAAATAAAAATGAATTTCAGAAAAACAAATCATGTTTACTCAGAAAAGTTCGAAAGTGGTATTGGTGACTCAAGACAATTGTAAAAATTCTTAGATACATTTAAAGGAAATTTATCAAACAAATTTGGTTCTCGAGGTTAATGCCAGAAACGATTTCTCAATTATTTCTCAAAGTGAGATGTGCTATGAAATCAATAACATCCGTCAATTCCTCAAACCCAAATGAAACCTATTCGAACTTATCAATATTAATTCATCCATATGATGAGGAAGGGTTTTGACGCCCAGCTTAAGTTCATCAATTTTTTAAGATGGGATCGAAACTAGATGAAAGAAGTTAGACTTTTTTCTTGAAAAAATTGATGGAACAAATTTTTCAAAAATGCATCTCAAAAGAATTTATATGGTGGCTAATTTATTTTTTATTTGCATACAGTTTTTTATATAAAATGGTTGACAGAAAAGGAATTAACTGAAAACGTTCGGGCATTTAAAGGTATTATTGAGGTAACAACTGTTTTCCTTAATTTTTTCGATAGTTTGAATCATTTTTGTAAAGAAGAAGAAGTCAATTCAATATCAGCTAAAATCGAAGATTTTTGGAAGAACCTTTTATTAGTTGTGGAAGAACTCGGCTAGATTTTCTCCGATTAGTCGATGGAACAACAACACAAAAAAAGATTGGTATTTTATGGACATAATGGACCGTATCTTCAAAAAAAAGTGACTAATCAAACCGATTTCAATGCGTTGAATTGAATAGCAAACAGTCTTCTGGGGTGAAAGTCAGTTGTGATGGTGCTGCTCAATGATCAATACTTGGTCTTAAAATTTCAATGACTTGCTACTGGTCGGCAAAAGCTGTGAAGTGCTGCTGATTGCTGACGATACTAACTTTACGAGAATAACCTGTACCATTGAAAAAAAGAGTGAAGTTAAGCAAGGGTCTCGAATGGGTTGAAGGCAAATCAGACAATCTAAATTTCAAAAAATTGTGTAAGTTAGCGCATAAGACAGAAGTGCCTCGAGTTAAAACCTATTTTTTGATAATTGAATAATCCCTTAACTTTATGCATGTTGTTATGGTGTAGCCCTAGATTCTTGTAAGCGGTTGTAAGAATTTCAGTAAGCGTAAACAATGCGGAATCTTTTCTACAGCCAGGCCTTGTGCTCCAGGAGTGTTTTTTTACGATGCTACGACTAAAAATGTTGAATCGATTTTTCAGTCAATTGCTTTGATATCTGGTTGTATTTATTCTAATTCACTTTTAGCCATTTTAAAATTGCTTCGAAATTTTTGCCTCTAAATATTTGCTTCTGAAAAATTTAGAGTCTGTAACAACCCTATTTGAACGTACCAACTTTTTAACTGTCCACGATCTGAGTTCTTAAACTTTTTCTTCGACCGTTAGCGGGCAGGCATACGAGTAATTTTTTGAATAATTTGCTCGAATTCAGCACATTTTTTCGAAATATCAGAACATCAAATAATTCTAAAAATAATATTTGATCGAACTTAGATACAGAAGTTTGCAATAAAGGATAAGGATGCCAGGTTGATCGGGATGCTATGCTAGGTTTTTTTTGCAATAGAAATTTTTTTGTACCATTAGAAATCTTACTTTTAAAGAAAATCCAGCTTCTGAGAGTAGTTCATATTAAGAGAGATCTGATTATCTTCAGTTCCTGCCTTAGTTTTAGGATTTAGTTTGCTTGTGGCAAGCTGAATTATCTCTTGGACTTGTACACTAGTTACTGTTGCATGGGCTCATCTGGGTGTCATCTGTCCAAAAGTCTCCATCCAATTACAAGCTGTTATGGAGGCTATAGGCACATGACAAATGTAGTAGAGTTAGTAACCGCTGAGTGAACAAGCATAAAAGTATGAAGTAAAGGGCAAAACAGATTTTTGTGATAATTTTTTGATCTAAAATGAATTGCGGCTAACCTGTTTTCTCAGGGATTTTTACTTGTCATCGAATGTTAATTTCGATGAATTTGGATTGTGTTTTTGTTTCTTCCTTTTAGGAAATGGATCTTCTCCAACGTGATGCATTTTTCTTAATTTTTTTTTTTGGTTTCGTTGAGGTCATTGTTGGCTATGTTCAGAAAAAATGAGTCGTAGACCAGGTTTTCTCCAATTAGGATAATTTACCAGGAGTGTGAATCATAAATTATTCTTATAATTGAAGCCACGTATTTTGTCTTACCAGGATAATTTACCAGGAGTGTGAATCATAAATTATTCTTATATTTGAAGCAACATATTTTGTCTTTGAGAAAATTTCAAATTAAATCAATCGTCTGGTTCTTTTTTCTGTTGGCTATTTAGTAAATTCCAGTCATTTAGACATGTGAACATCGTTTTTTCCCAATAAATGAGGTTAACTGTTGGTTCGCTTGATTTCGTTTTGATTTAACTTCGCTTTATAGAGCTCCGATTTTTTAAGTCTGAAGTGTTTATTAGTTACGCACACTTTTTGTTTAGAAAGAAAACTCCGATGTTAATGAAGACATGATGTCCAGAAAACCAGAGAAGATAGTTCTTCCTGAAGTGCCGCCGAATTCAGATGGAGTGACATTATTCTTCTACAACATCGGCAAGGATCTTGACGAAGCTCAGATGAAGCAGGTTCTTCTTAATCAAGGAGTGGGCGCTATGTTATACCTGTCCATAGTTCGAGATCCGACCACTCTTTTGAGTAAAAACTTCGCTTTTGTCAAGTTCAAAAATCAAGAAGACGCTCAACAAACTATAGCGACGTTACATAGGTCCGATTTATTTGGCTGTGGGCCTTGCGAGATCAAATTTAAAACGTTCACTCCTGGAAATAGTGCACCGAATGGAAAAGCGACAAATGATCGGCAAAGAACAAGCGGTAGGAGAACTGACTATTCAAGTAATATTCCAGTTTTAGTGACAGATGAATGAGAATAAAACAAGAGCCCATTGAAAGTCTCATATCAAGGTCAAGACGTTTGCAGGCTCCAAGTTGCAATTGACTGATGAAAGAGCATAGCGGAAAGTGGAGTCAGATTGTTTTGTAGTATCATAAAACTGAAATCAATATAAAGACAAATGATTCTGTTCAAGTGTCAATGAACGAAATAAGGACAGTTTATAGGTCGTTCGGTTTTTTCAGGAAAAATTGTTCACTCTCACTTTTATTTTGTTTTTCGTAGTTCGACGTTCACCTCTTTTTACTGATCTATTGAGAAACGAAACTGCCCCAACACATCCGCCCGCTCCCCGTAAGAAAAGACCGAATGAATGATCTCGTCCAACCTAAAGCGGTAAAACGATGCAAAAGGCGAGTGGATGGATCGTTGCATATGGTAGAGGACAGAGGAGCCGGTCATTTACGATCATTTGTTATTTTTCCTTCTGCTAACTAGGCGCTACCCTATCCCTACTGCCAATAAGACCCTCTAGCATTACACGTATTCATTCTCTGCCGTTTGATTTTGACTTTGAATTTTTAAACTACGTTCTCTAAGTCCTGCTTCCAAGGTGTCCCGATGTCCTGCTTCCAAGTCGTTGAATGTATGGAGAGTTCTCAAGAAGCATCGCTTCTTGGTGGTATAGAGTCAGCGATTATCCAGGACAGTTTTCGATCTTCCAATTCGTTGAATGGGGAGTTCTCAGGAAGCATCTGTGTTCTGGTATTTTGGGGCTTTTCAGGGTGAGTTGCCACATTCATTCGTTGTCCTGGTTCCAAGTCGTTGAATGGAGAGTTCTCAGAAAGCATCGCTTCTTTAGGTGGTATAGAGTCAGCGATCATCCAGGACAGTTTTCGATCTTCCAAGTCGTTGAATGGGGTGATTTCAGGAAGCATCTGTGTTCTGGTAATTTGGGGCGTTTCGGGCTGTATCGCAGCCAGTATCATCTGATATGCAACTTCCAAGTCGTTGAAGGGAGAGTTCTCAGGAAGCGTCTGTGTTCTGGTATTTTGGGGCGTTTCAGGGTGAGTCGCGACCATCATCCGATGTCCTGCTTCCAAGTAGTTGAATGGAGAGTTCTCAGGAAGCTTCGCTTCTTTAGGTGGTATTGAGTCAGCGATTATCCAGGGAGTTTTCGAGCTTCCAAGTCATTGAATGGGGTATTTTCGGGAAGCATCTATGTTCTGGTTATTTGGGGCGTTTCAGGGTGTGACGCAACCAGCATCCGATTTTTTGCTTCAAATTCGTTGAATGGATAGTTCTCAAGAAGCATCGCTTCTTTAGGTGTTATAGAGTCAGCGATTATCCACGAGAGTTTTTGATCTTCCAGGTCGTTGAATGGGGAGATTTCAGAAAGTATCTGTGTTCTGTTAGTTTGGGGCTGTATCGCAACCAGTATCATCTGATATGCAACTTCCAAGTCGTTGAATGAAGATTTCTCTGGAAGCATCTATGTTCTTGTAATTTTGGGCATTTCAGTGTGTATCGCAACCAGCATCTGATGTCCGCCATTCAAGTAGTTTAATGGAGTGTGCTCCGGAAGCATCGCTTCCTTTGGTGTTTCCAGTCTACGCGTTGGGTTTCCATATCGATCTGATATGTGTGAATGAAATCTCGCTTTTCTAGAGATATCTCAGCTGCCAGCGTGGTTATAATTTTTAAATGAAACTTGATGAAAAGTTCAAGAGAAGTTGAAGTTGAAATCTAGTTGAAGCTGTTTTTTAAGCTAATCTAGAGGAACCTGAAGAAGCTGGATTTTTGACTACGATTGAATTTGATTCTGAATTTAGGAAAAGAGTAAGAATTCCCTCTATTGGCTCATTTATAATTTTATTCTCCCTAATATTTGAATAAAGCAAAATAGACCAGTGATACTGGATAAATAGGTCGATAAATAATTCAAGTGAAAACATTAATCTGATACAATTGTTTTCCCCTTATAGATGTCATAAAGCTATCCACCCTAATTACGTTTAAACAATTAACTCCCAAGGATGCCGGTTAATTACCCCTATAAAAAATTCAAGTGAAAATATTAATCTGATAAGATTTTTATTACACAAAACTGCCAGTATTGTGACAACAATTTAATTGGAACAATAAACATCACAATAGACTTGATGAAATGAACAATTGTCTTTCCAACTTGTGAAAACTCAAGTAATGTTTGGTAGTTAAGACCAAAAGTAGTAGAAATTACCAGTACTGTGACAACAACTTTATTGGGACAAAAACACCTCAGCGCAATTTCGCTTCTGCAAAGATCGCTACCTCGGTAGACTTGACTTTTTGAAAAAAATTGAGCGCACCAAGATGACTTTTTTGGCTACACACTGTCCTCAAAAATGTAGAAACTTGAGTAAAAAAAATTGCATCATTGACAAGAAAACTAAATGACAGATTGCAGGATAAAAAACTAACAAAGCGCTCTCAGGTACCGTAAACAAGTCAACTACGCTATATCAACAAAATGAAGCACAACTCTTTGAAATTTGTAAAATCTCAGTGATTGTTTGGTAGTCAAGACCAAAAGTAGTGAAAACTACCAGTATTGTGACGACTTCTCTATTGGGACACCCCAGTGCAGTTTGATTGTGCAAAGATCGCTACACCAGTAGTTTGACAAAATGAACAAAAGTGAGCTTAACAAGATGGATAAATTAGCAACTTACTATCCTCAAAAACGGAAAAACTTGCTTCTAAGTCGTTGAATGGGAGCTCTCAGGAAGCATCGCTTCTTGAGGTGCTTTAGAGCCAGCGATTATCCAGGTCACTTTTCGATCTTCCAAGTCGCTGAATAGGGAGATTTCAGAAAGCATCTGTGTTCTGGTAATTTGCGGCGTTTCGGGCTGTATCGCAACCAGTATCATCTGATATGCAACTTCCAAGTCGTTGAATGGAGATTTCTCAGGAAGCATCTATGTTCTGGTAATTTGGGGCATTTCAGTGTGTATCGCAACCAGCATCTGACGCCGCCTTTCAAGTCGTTGATGCTTCCTGAGCACTCTCCATTCAACGACTTGAAAGGCGGCGTCAGATGCTGGTTGCGATACACACTGAAAAGCCCCAAATTACCAGAACACAGATGTTTCCTGAAAACTCGTATTTCAATGACTTCGAAGATCGAAAACTGTCTTGGATAATCGTTGAGTCTATACCACCTAAAGAAGCGATGCTTCCTGAGTGCTCTCCATTCGACGACTTGGAAGGTGCATATCAGATGATACTGGTTGCGATACACCCTGAAACGCCCCAAATTACCAGAACATAGATGCTTCCCGAGAAATCCCCATGCAAGTAGACTTGAAAAATGAACAAAATTGAGCTTAACAAGATGGATAAATTAGCCACTTACTATCCTCAAAAACGGAAAAACTTGCTTCCAAGTCGTTGAATGGAGGTTTCTCAGGAAGCATCGCTTCTTTAGGTGGTGTAGAGTCAGAGATTATCCAGGACAGTTTTCGATCTTCCAATTTGTTGCATGGGGATTTCTCGGGAATTATCTATGTTCTGGTAATTTGGGGCGTTTCAGGGTGTATCGCAACCAGCATCTGATGTCCGCCTTCAAAGTAGTTGAATGGAGTGTTCTCAGGAAGCATCGCTTCTTTAGGTGTTGTGGAGTCTACGCGTCGGGTTTCCATATCGATCTGGTTTATATGGACGAATTCTCGATTTCCGAGAGCTATTCAGCTGGCAGCATGGTTTCAGTTATTAATTGAAACTTGATGAAAAGTTCAATAGAAGTTGAACTTGAAATTTAGTTGAAGCTGTTTTTTAAGCTTATCTAGAGGAACCTGAAGAAGCTGGATTTTGACAAACATTGAATTTGATTCCAAACTTAGGAAAGGAACATGAACTCCCTCTATTGGCTAATTTATAAATTTTTTCTCCCTAATTTTTGAATAAATCAAAATGCACCAGTGATACTGGGTAAATAGGTCGAAAAATAATAGGTCGAAGTGAAAACAATAATCTGATACAATTGGTTGCCCCTCGGTGATGTCATAATTTTATCCACCATATTTACGTATAATCAATTTATTCCCAAGGATGCCGGTTAAATACCCCTATAAGAAGTTCAAGTGAAAAAATTAATCTGATAAGATCTTTATTACGCCCCCAAGAAAAAAAAGATTAGACTAATTGAGTAACATATTCACGCGACTTTGACAGGTTGACCTCTCTCCCAAAATAGGCATGACCCCTTGTTGCTCTATACCACTCAAAGGTAACCTAAACAAGGCAGCACCACTATACCCACCTTAAAAAGCACAACCAACTATTTCAACTTTGTGAAATTTTGGGGAATGTTGGTAATCATGACCAAAAAGTAATGAAAACTGCCATTATTGTGACGACAATTTTATTGGACTATTAAACAACCCAGTAGACTCGATGAAATGAACAATTGTCTTTTCAACTTGTGTAAACTCAAAGAATTTTTGGTAGTCAAGATCAAAAGTAGTGGGAATTACCAGTATTGTGACGAAAACTTTATTGGGACACCCCTGTGCATTTTTGATTCTGAAACGATCGCTACCCGAGTAGTTATGACAAAATGAACAAAATTGAGCTTAACAAGATGGATGAATTAGCCACATATTATCCTCAAAAACGGAAAAACTTGCTTCCAAGTCGTTGAATGGAGATTTCTCAGGAAGCATTGCTTCTTTAGGTGGTATGGAATCAGCGATTATCCAGGACAGGTTTCGATCTTCAAAGTTGTTGCAGGGGGAGTTTTCGGGAAGCATCTATGTTCTGGTAATTTGGGGCGTTTCAGGGTGTATCGCAACCAGTATCATCTGATATGCACCTTCCAAGTCGTCGAAAGGAGAGCGCTCAGGAAGCATCGCTTCTTTAGGTGGTATAGAGTCAACGATTATCCAAGACAGTTTTCGATCTTCGAAGTCGTTGAAATGCGAGTTTTCAGGAAACATCTGTGTTCTGGTAATTTGGGGAGTTTCAGGATGTGTCGCAACCAGCATCGGATGTCCTGCTTCCAAGTCGTTGAATACAGAGCGCTCAGGAAGCATCACTTTTTTAGGTGGTATAGAGTGAGCGATTATCCCAGTCAGTTTTTGATCTTCCAAGTCGTTGAATGGGGGTTTTTCAGGAAGCAGCTTTGTTCTGGTAATTTGGGGCGTTTCGGGCTGTAACGCAACCAGCATCTGTTGTCCGCCTTCGAAGTAGTTGAATGGAGTGTTTTCAGGAAGCATCGCTTCTGTAGGTGGTATAGAGTCA